CCCCAAAACCCCAAAACCCCAAAACCCCATCTATCCAGCAAACTTTTGAAATAAAGCCATGATAATTAAAGAAAAATGGAGACTAAGATTCTCAGCCTAGATCAGCCTGTATCTTCATTCACCAAGATAATAAGCTTATGTGAAGGCATCATTCTCGACTACATAAAGTAAGTGGAGCATTAAATTTTGCGGATTCATAATAATTACGACCGATGGCTTCAAAAACTGAATGTCTTAGTTAACCTGTATGAAAATATAATGCTCAAAACTTTTGGAAGTGAGGGCAAGCCCAATAGACCCCTGCATCAGGATCAGAAGGGGAAATCAGTGGCAAAGCAATTTGTAAAGGGTCTGAACTGATTTCGCCCATACTCTTCATTGTTATGTCGCTGATTTCTCCACCTGGCTCAAATGCAGTGATTCAGTTGCCATCCACTTCCATAATCTTCGAACCACTTGTATCTCCATTGAGCCTAAACTAAAAAACCAATTCCTTAAATCCATCTTAACACAATAACTACCAGACCACCATATACATTCCTTCACCTCTTCTCCTTCTATGTCACCCTTTAAAATTTAGCCAGAAAGCACTTAAAACCCCCTGTAAAATCCTCCATCTCCACAGAGGTTCCAAAATCCTCAAGCTCCAGGTCCATCACAGCACAAAATTCCCTCCAAGCACTACATGTAATCCTAAATTTACCCAAATCCACTAACCAGGCCACTCATGAGCCTTCCTATATCTTCTTAGTTTAGACTAGGCTGAAACCTAACATTTGTACGTACAAAAATAGCCTGAAGCAACCTGAGCAAACGCTTTGGGAGGAACAAGTGGGAAAAAGAGGGTGAGAGACGATATTTTAGGGCCTAAAGAGACTTAGAAGGCTTGCCAAAAGGAAGCGGTTAGGAAGAGAGGGAGTTAATGAGGGTTATAGAGTAGAAGTGGTAGATAGAGTTGGTTAGAGTCATAACTTTGAGATTGGGATTTTTGGATTTTTTATTCATAAAGAAAATTAATATGAATACATTTTATCTAACAGTAAATTAGGTCAAGTAAGTATTAAGCAAAACCAAGCTAAGACAACACTTTAGGAAACAAATTTCTCATTTATTGATTCCACTCTGATTCAAGAAATAATTATGAATTTTAAAACAGGAGGAGAGATCGCCAGTGTCTTTAGCTCAATAATTAAACTGCTAGTGCCCTATAAGAACCCTTCTGAAGAGAATATTGCATCCATATCTGAGCTTGCTTTGGAATCTAGTAAAATTAACCTTGAATACGATGTCTCGACGAGGCTATAATCCCTCTAAAAATCTGAAAAGATCCCTGAAAATAAAAATTCCAAAGAGCAGTATATTGAAGCAGTTTTCACAGTCAACTATATGATAAATATTTCTTCAGAAATTACAAATTCTCTTCTGGAAAAATACCTCGTGAACTTCTGCTCAAAGGCTTATGGAGGCCTTAATATTGTAGAAAGGTTTCTCAGAGCTTGAGATGTACTGTTAAACCAGGAATCAGACTTCTTAACCCCAAGAATCCTTGCGGAGATGCTATAGCTATGCAGCACTGAGCTTCCCTTCGTAAAGTTAGCATTTAGGCATGCTTTCAGCACACAAATCTGAATTCTATATTACATAATAAATCATTATATCTGTGAATAAATTTTTTATCGTAACAGGTCAGATCAGCTTTTCTTTCTCAAAATATTGCTCAATTTTGTCGAGGAATATATGGAAAATTCCCATAATTTAGCTAAATAAAAAATTATTTTTAAACAGCCCTAGACTTCGGCTAGATATGCTTACTTGGCTAGAGAGGGTGTGACAGCCCGCTGGGTGGAATCTCAGAGCTTTACGCATCGGGTTTTCAGTATTTATAATTCAGCAGTAACCAAAGTGTTTTCTGATAAAAATATTTGTTAATAATTTTAATTCATCAATTTAAATAGTTTTATTTGGGGTTTTGGGGTTTTGGGGTTTTGGGGTTTTGGGG